CAAAGGGCAACGTACATAATCAACTCACGAGGCTTGTTTTTCAGGCGCCTCCTCGCGCCAGGCGGCGCTCATGCATCGAGGAATGGCCTGGCGGTGGGGCCGAAACCAGCTGCGCGCAGCAGACTTCGTACCCCCCGTTCGTCTGGCCCGAGAAACGCGCGACCCCGGCTGCCCAAGGACAGATGACCCCAGCCGGCCGGGGACAAGTACAGCGTTTCGTGGCCCCACTGAGAGCCCCACGTAAGGCCCCAGTGGGACCGCCCGCATGCGTCATCCACCACCCAGTGCAGCATTTCGGGGCCCCACAGGGAGCTCCACCTAAGGCCCCAGTGGGACCGCCCGCATGCGTCATCCACCAACCAGTACAGCATTTTGTGGCCCCGTAGGGAGCTCCACCGAAGGCTACAGTGGGACCGCCCGCATGCGTCATCCACCAGCCAGTACAGCGTTTCGTGGCCCCATAGGGGGCTCCACCGAAGGCCCCGGTGGGACCGCCCGCATGCGTCATCCACCACCCCGCACAGCATGTCGTGACTTCATAGGGAGCTCCACCTAAGGCCCCAGTGGGACTGCTCGCATGCGTCATCCACCACCCAGCATCCACCACCCAGTACAGAGTTTCGTGACCCCATGGGCGTCGACATTGATGCACGTAGACTCACGCGCGCATGGACTCATCCACAATCAGACTCACTCGCTCTCAGTGTCTCGCACACAGACCAAATCGTCTTCGCTCGCGTTGTTTGCCCCGCCGCGCATGTCGGCACGCCCCTCGCACGGTTCGTGGCCCCATAGGGAGCGCGGGCGAGGCTGATATTCATTTTTGCGCTTTTCACAGCTGCGTATGGTTGGGTTTTGCGCCAGGCTAATTTGTCGACTTTTAATTTTTCGTCCCAAATCCCCATTGTAGGCATGACCTAACCCTCCCTTGCGCGCGGGCGCCAGCCAGGAAGGGGGGGCCAGCGCCGGAGCGTGCCGCTGCTCGCGACGTGCCCGCTCGCAAGGGAGGAGAAACGGCACAAGCATAAAAATGTTGGCGCTCCGCGCGGATTTTTTGCCGCCAGGCAGGCGGATTCATCGCTGATCCGAGGAAGCCCGCGAGGACCTCCGAATTTTCATGTTGGTGCCACTGCTCTTGGCATCGCTCGGGCGTGTGCGTTTCCTTTCGGCGGGGGCAAGTGAAGAGCATCCAGGATCACATGGCGACCAAAGCGCGCGTGGAACCGAAAGAATGCACGGGGAATGGATCGGGCCGGGCGAAACGGGGGGATTGGGAAAGGGGGGGAGGTACGGAATCTGCTGCATGCAGCTGGTGTCGACCCCACCGAGGGGCCCATTCCTTGATACGTGGCCGCCTCCGGCGCCGGGAGGTGCCGGGAAAATCAGCTACGCGAACTGATTCTCCCCCCCCCCCTTTGCTAACCCCCCCCTTTCGCCCGACCCGAATGGACGTCCGAGCGATGGCGGGTGTTCGTTGCCCTGCCGGGGACCCCGAGGAGGGTCAGCATTAAGTCAGGCATGTCCCCTTTACAGGGGGGTTTTCGAAGAAAAATTAAAACTACCCCAGAAACAGTCCAACAACAATCCAAACATACTATGGGGACCATGTTTTGTGTATTTTTTTGTTTTTGTTGGGTGTACTTTTGGGCTTCTTTTATTTTTCGTCGAAAATCCCCGCTGTAGGGGGACACGCCCGACATAAGTCAGGAGGAGCAAAATACACACAGACACATTTCATCGTCGTTTACCCAGAGAGTATGGGAACATATGGGCAGTGGGGGGGAAGACGAAAACCCCCAAAATATGGGAAAATATGGGGGATATTTTTATCTGTGTGCATTTATTTGTGTGTCCTGGGCCCCCGAGGAGGGCCAGCATTAAGTCGGGCCTGTCCCCCTACAGGGGGATTTTCGACGACAAATAACAGTCACCCCATCAATAGTCCAAACATGGTCAGAAGATAATCCGGGGACCAGGTTTTGCGTATGTTTTGGCTTTTTTGGTGTACTTTTGGGCTTCTTTTATTTTTCGTCGAAAATCCCCGCTGTACGGGCACACGCCCGACATAAGTCAGGAGGAGGAAAAACACAGACACAATTAATCGTCGACTCCCCAGAAAATATGGGAAACTATGGGCAGTGGGCGGGGGAAGACGAAAAGCCCAAAACAATATGCGAAGATATGGGGGATCTTTTTACCTGTGTGCATTTATTTGTGTGCATTGATGTGTGTGTCCTGGGGCCCCTACAGGGGGATTTTCGACGAACTAGAAAAATGACCCCACAACTAACCCCAAACTAGTCCAAACATAGTGTGGGTACTACGTTTTGAGTATTTTTTTGTCATTTTTGGCGTGTTTTTTGTGTATTTTTGTTTTTCGTGGAACATCCCCGCTGTAGGGGGCACACGCCCGACATGAGGCAGGAGGAGAAAAAAACACACAGACACACTTCATCGTCCACTCCCAGGGAAAATATGGGAACACATGGGCAGTGAAGGGGAAGACGAACACCCAGGAAATACGCGAACCTATGGGGGACACTTTTTTTGTTTTAATAATATATATATATATATATATATATATATATATATATATAGATAAAAAAAAACAAAAAAACAAGATTATTATTATTAAGAAAATCCCCGCTGTAAGGGGGACGCGCCCTTCAACAAGGCCAGCGCCCTCCCCGAGAGCTCGACGGCCCGCCGCCCCCGGCCGCTCCGCGGGGCCGCGCGCCGAGGGCCGCCCCGCGCGGGCCTCCGCGCCGGCCCCTCGGGGCACGGGGTCGGCTGCCGTCGCGTCGGGCTCGCCCCTCGACATGGGAAAGGTTCAAACAATAGTACTCCAGATTTCGTAATAAAGGCAGGGGGGTCTCATTTCGGGGGGGGGTCTCTTCCAGGCTCTCTTGGAGGGCCTGGGGGGGTCTGGGGGGCCACGCGCGCCGAGGGCCGCCCGCGCGGGCCTCCGTTCCTGCCCTCGGGCACGGGGTCGGCTGCAGTCGAGTCGGGCTCGTCCTCGCAGGCCTAGAGATTGAGACACCAACACCAATTTCGGCGGTGTGCCTCCACCGAGGGAAGAAGATCCCGATCTCGGCGAGGGTGGTAGTATTCTGGCTTCCAAGGTAGCCGAACTATTACCACCAACACCGAAAATCTAGGATCACCTTCCCCCTGTGGAGGCACCCCCCTGTGGGGTCGGCTGCAGTCGAGTCGGGCTCGTCCCTCTGCATGGGAAAGATTCGGCAACGCGCAGAGGGGGGTAGGGGGAGGGGGGAAGGCTTCTTAGAAGCACCCCTGCCTCTTAGAAGGCGCGGGCCTTCTCTGTAGACGTAAGGCCGAGGCCTTCTAAGAAGCAGGGCTGGTCCCTCTACGTGGGAAAGACTCAAACAATAGTAAGCAAATATCAGGAGGAAGAGAAACACACAGACACAATGAGTCGTCGAGTCCTCAGAACATATGGGAACATATGGGAAGTGGTGGGGAAGACGAAAACCGAGAATGTATGGGAAAATGATGGGGAATCTTTTTATTTGTGCAGTCGAGTCGGGCTTGTCCCTCTACATGGGGGCGGAAAAGAGGGGGGTGATGACTAGGGGGGGGGGTGGATATCATGGCGGGGGCCATGATATTTCCCCAGATTTCATGGCGCCTCTTCTTATTTCTTTACGTCCCTGGCCCCCCCGCTGGGCCGCGCACGTGCCGCTGGTCATGATTTGCACCCCCCCTCTTGGACACCCCCCTCTTGGCCGCTCCCGGTCTACATGGGAGAGATTCAAACAATAGTAAACAAATGGTCTGGGGATTATTTTTTTGAGTATCTATCTGTTTGGCCATTCTGGAGTACTGTGTTGGGGTATTGTTTTAAATTGTTGTTCGTCGAAAATCCCCATGTAGGGGGACACGCCCGACTTCAGACTACAGTCAGGAGGGCAACAAAACACACAGACACATCTAATCGTCGATTCCTTTGAAAATCTGGGAAAGTATGGGAAGTGGGAGGGAAGATGAAAACCCAGCAAATATGGGAAAATATGGGAAATCCGGTTATTTGTGTCTATTTATTTGTGTGCCGCAGGGCCCCTTCATGCAGCATCGATTTACCCCAGGCTTGAGCTTTTCGTCGAATTTGCGAACACCAGGTGTTGAACCCCTGCAGATGTACGAAGACTCGGCGTACTTGGTTGCAGATTCGGCACAAGGCCAACTCTCGACGGAGAGAAAACGGCACAAACGTAAACTTTTGGCGCTCCGCGGGGATTTCTTGGATCCGCGTCTTGGCCCCCCGGCGTCGCTGGAGGCGCCGCCCCTGGCGCGCTCCGCGCGCCAGGGAGGGGGGCCAAGGCGCGGATCCGAGAAATCCGTGCGGAGCGCCATTTGTTCCTCCTCCTAAGTATTCAGCCACGCGCAGAGGGGGGTGGAGGCAGGAGGGAGGGCATCTTAAAAGCACCCCTGCTTCTTAGAAGGGGCGGGCCTTCCCTGTAGATGTGAGGCCGGCGCCTGCTAAAAGGCAGCCTCCTTCTGAGACGCCCTCCCCTCTTCCTCCACCCTCTCGTGCGCACCGCCAAACTGTCCAGGGGCGGCGCCTCTCCGCCTGGGGGGGGGGGCTACGGCATTGGCTGTCTTCCCCCTCCGCCTCACTAGGGGCCCCCGCAGCACGGGGTCCCCCCCCTTTTTTTCCTTTCCCTTTCGGACGCCCGAAATGGATACGGAAACAATGGGCACAATGCCCAACAACACATGTTGTCCCAAACCAACAGCGGCCAAACCAACAGCGGCCGCTGTTGGGCAGGCGGCCTTCTGTCTCGAATGGACACAGGCCGCGGCGGCGTGGACAGCGGATCCTGTTCAAAACGAACAGGATCCGCTGTTGGGCATTGTACCAGTTCTTTCCGTGCCCGTCTCGGGCGTCCAAATCCCTTCTCCAAAAGTATGGGGTGAATCAACCCTGTCGCCGATGCCCTGCTCGACGCCTGGCCTCCCTGCGCCGCGCGCGCGGGCAGGCCTCTGGGCGGCGCTCCTGCACGCCCTGCAGGCGCGCGGGGGCCGCCCCGCCTCCGCCGAAGAGGGTGCGGAGGGGGGCGCCTCGAACGGGCGGGAGGGGGGTCCGAGGAGGAGGGGGAGGGGGAGGAGGAGGAGGAGGAGGAGGAGGAGGAGGAGGAGGAGGAGGAGGAGGAGGAGGAGGAGGAGGAGGAGGAGAAGGACCAGTGTAAAACCAAGAGTCATCAGCGATGCTGGAATTTGCCCTCCCTCCGAGTTCCCTCTGCGTAAGCCCCCACAACTTTTCACTCCCATTGAGGGAACTGCCTCGTTGGAGAACGAACGACCGTTTGAAGATCCTGAAACATGCCAAAACATTATTCTCGGGCATTTAACGCCACGTATCAACCTGGCTGCTGCGTCTTGACGATCCAGAATCGTGCTAGAGCGCCATTTTTTGGATTCAACACCGCGAGCCAACATGACTGTTGCACCCGCATAATCCAGAATCCTTGCAAAACGCTTTTTATGGCACGTTGAGCATGGGAATATGCGAAACGCCTGCACTTTTGCAACGGATGTGCGCGGCGCTTAGGCGAGAGCCACATTTTGAACATGAACCGCCCTCAATTCGTGAAGCTCTTGCACATTTGAAAACGAATGTGCGCAGTGATAAGGCGAGAGCCACATTTTGAAAACGACCCGCCCTCAATCCGTGAAACTCTTGCAAACGTTTAAGCGAATGTGCTCGGCGCTGAGGCGAGAGCCACATTTTGAAAACGACCCGCCCTCAAACCGTGAAGCTGTTGTCACTTTTAAGCTTCATAATCATATATGGTGAGGAAGTCTTAGGCGAAACGCCTGGCCCGCCCAAAAAACTGGCCTCGGGCTGCGGCAGGGAGGAGTTATCTGTAAAGAGAAGGAATGTAGGAGGAGGAGGAGGAGGAGATTGTGGGAATTGTGGAGATTGCTGTGATGCGCGCCAGGGAGCGGTTCGTGCCAACTCATACAACACATGCCACTCTCTATAACGCGCTGGCGGCAGGCCGGTCCGTGGGTCGCCACCCCAAGATGAGGAGGCCGACGCGCCCTGAGCGGGCGGACGCTCCAAGGAGCGGAGCGAGTCAGCACGAGAACAAAAAACGCCACAGCCCATGTAGCGCTGGCGGCAGGGGCGGCAAACGCAGCGGCGGCGGCCGCTTCGTCCACGGCCACGCCGTGGCCCGCCGCACGAACGTATGGAGTGAGGCCATGGCGCCCCAATCGGGCGCGGGGGAACAATCCTTTGTTTATATCGGCGTGGTTCTCCTTGTCCTTGCGTGTGATGCCAGTGCACGGGGCGGCAAACTGGCGAGGGTCCTCGGTCGCTGTCTTGCCGCACTCCCGACAGAACTGCAGGCACAACTTCTGCATGAAGTGGAGCTTGTGGGTGTCATGCAGCGGGCGGCCGCAGACAGTGGCCGTCCCCTGTACTGGGACGACCTGCTCAGTGGCGACAGGGAGCGGGGGAGCAGGCTGGCACAATGCGGTGCAGGCTTGGCGCGCGGCTCGCTTGTCGGCCGTGAGCCCACAGTTCGAGCATCTGTGCTTGTTCGCATACAGCTCGAAAGAGTGGCTACTGGACTGGAGGACGCGCTGTAGCATGGTTCGCCGCGGGCCTCTGGCCTGCGAGGGTCGCTCCGCGACCCAGGGGTCCACCGCCAGAGTATCAGCGAGGGCTCGGCGCGCACGGCGGCGGATCAGGGCGCACTGGGTGTCGTGTAGGTCTGTCGGCGGGGCAGCGCCTAGGAGGACTGCCTCCCAGGCACGCTGGGCGCTAGCTCCAGCTCAGGCGTCGGCGCATGCATTGCCCAGCGTGTGGGCAAAGCGGACATGGTCGGTGGAGACGTTGTTGGCGTCCTCACTGTGAGATGGCACCCAATCCACCGCGACAGAGCCAGGGCCGCGATTCCTTATAGCCTTGCCTATGCGCTGCCACAGGTCAAGGTTGGCACCGTGAGGGTGCAGGTGGCGGCTCGACCTCCACCCGTCCGGGAGCGGCATGTTATCAGTGACGTAGCGGAGGTCGCCAAAGGAATGCTCGACCGCCAGCGCAAAGGCGAGGAGCTCCGCTCGCGGGACGAGCTGAAAAAAGGGCCGTCGAGGCCCGACGAGACGCCACCCCAGGGGGGCCACTCTCCGAAGTAGCTCTTCATAGCGATCACGGCGGTCCCCACCCTGCGGCGGCGGGGATCGGCGCGAAACTGCCCTCCCGAGCCGTCTCCATGCAAGGTCAGGGGGCCGTCCGAGTCGGCGCGCCCCTCCCGCGCGCCCCTCCCGGTCCCGCCCAACCCAGCTCCGCCCGCCGTCCCCGCCCAGATCAACAAGGACAGGGTGAGTATCCGCGCGGGCGGCGAGGTCACGGAGCCAGTAAGCTGAGGCGGCGTCTGCGCCGACGAGGGCAAAGGGGGGGGGCGCGTCAGATTTCAGGTCGCCCCCGTGGTCGCGGTTGGCGGGGCGGAGCCAGATCCCGTGCACCAGGGTCTCGGATGGCGCGCCGCATCTCGGGCATGCCGTATCTGCTTGGTAGCCAGCGCTGGTGATCCTCTTCCTGGGCCACTGCGCCCCCGCGACCACGCGCAGGTTGAGGGCCCACTGGTCGAACTGGCCCTTGCGCATGAACCTGTTCATCTCGTCGGTGATTGCGGAGACGTCGGCTCCGCCTCGCTGGGGGCCCTCGCCGCCAAGGTGCTTCGATGCGTCGTTCCAGGAGCCAGTCTCGATGGTCTGGCAGAACTCGAGGGCCAGCTGGGGGGGTGGTCGATCTCCGCGCGGCGCTGCTCCCAGTCGCCGCAGTCCTCGCGAGGTAGGAGGCAGGTCTGCTCGGCCTGCTCACCTTCGCGAGGCTGGTGGGGCCACTCGCGGGGGAGCGGGCAGTCCCACCGTGCGTCCACGAGGATGGCCTGGGCGGCAGAGATGGGGCCGCCCACCTTGCGCGAGCGTTTATTGCCGTTTCCGATGGTCTTTCGGGTTGGCGAACCAGAAGGAAAGCCGCTCCAGGATGGTCTGCCTGCGGAGCTCGATGCCAGGATCCTTGTCGCCGAGGAGGGCGGCGAGCGTGGTGGTGAGGCATTTGCCAGGGACCTTGCCAGCGATCGCCTGGGCGGCTCTGCGCCGCTGCTGAGTGATGGTTTTCGGGGAGAGGCCCATCGCCTGATGGCCATGGGCCCCCCTGCGGTCTGGAGCCCGTGGTCCAGGGGCCCTTCGCAATCTTGGCGTTCGAGGCGTGCCTGCGGATCTTGGCGATGGTGCGGCCTGTCCTCTGCCTCGCCTTGACGGCCCTCTTGGGGGCCTTCTCTGCCGCCCTCCTGCGCGCCCCAACGGTGCCGACGCCTAAGTCGACGGAGGCGTTGGCGACCTTGATGGGGCATCCCTCGCGCTTGAGGGCGGCGTGGGCGTCGGGCGCCGCCGCGGGGCTGGAGGCGATGGCGGTGGTTTTCGGCGACACCTTGAGCTCCGCCTCTACCGTGCCGTTGCAGAGGGTCGCCCCGACTGCAGCAAGAGTCCAGCGTAGGCGCAGTCCTGGTGGGCCCTCGCGAGGATGGGGCCGAGGTAGACCTTGGCTCGATACCCGCCGTGGGAGCCGCCTGCGACGATGGGGCGCTGCGGGTCGATGGCGTCGCTGACCCAGCCGCGCAACCGCAAGTGCCTGAGCGCGAGGAAGAGCTGCGCCTCCAAGGCCACCGCGGCAGGAGGGAAGTTGCCCTGTATGGCCGTGTCGAGGAGCTTCGCGAAGTTGACCGATTCGTAGGACTTCTCGACGTCCATGAGGAGGGTGGCTTAGGCGAACCCGAGGGCCGCCGCCGTCTCGTCGGTGGGGGGCCCTCGTGATGGCAGCGCGAGGGGCGCTGGGGCCCTTGGTCGCCGCGCCCCAAAACTCGCCGAGCTGGCTGGGCCACTGGTCGGCGATGGCAGCGCGGAGCTGGGGCGCGCCGAGGATGCGCCCCCCGCCCGCTGGCTTGAGGGTCATCGCCCCCGCTGTGGCGCAGGGCTGCTGCGGCCGCAGCCCGCCGGGCTCCGCGAAGTTGCAGGCCCCGGCGAGCTTCTCGATGCCCTTGGGCGGGGGGCGCTGGAAATCCATTGGCCCGGTGTTGTCGGCCCCGCGCGCCTTCTTGAGGTCGGCGACGCTGGCCGCGGCGCAGATGTGCTGCGGCTCGATGGCTGGGATGGGGGCCCTCCCGAGCGAGGCGCGTGGCCTCGAGGTGGGACTGGAATTCTTATCCTCGTAACCGTTGGTCGCCCAGATCTGGCGACAGATGTCCGCTGCTTTGTTCGTGGCTGTGTAGGGGTCGCCGACGGTGGCTCCTTTTGGCTTGGTCTCAAGCTGGGGGGGCTCGGGCCCGCCGCGACGCGGTGGAGCTTGCCGGGGGGCGCCTTCCAGGCCCGCGCGGCCCAGTCCAGGCCCGCTTGGCCTGCGGGCTCGCCCCGCAGCCCTGGCCATCGCGCTGTTGGTCCAGCGCTCGGTGGTAGCGCATATGTGGTGGGGGTCCCCATCGTCGCAGAAGTCTAAGGGGCGACCTAGAGTTTCCATTCGTTGGCCTCGATGGAGTCGACCTTTGAGCCAAAGTGGTCCCAGTGGAAGTCGTTGCTGGCGAGCTGGTTGAGCTTCGCCTGGATGCACTTCCTGAGTTGCCCTGTGGCGCGGGTGTCCTTGTCGTTGGTGACCAGGGCGGTGTGGCGGATGAGGGCCCTGGAGGTAGGTGCGCTCTGGCGTCGCCTTCATGATCTGGCGCGCGGTCTTGTGGCCCTGCGCCTTGCCCTGGTACTTGGCCCTCTCCTCGGTGGGGCGTTGTGCGTCTCCAGGAAGGCGATCTCCATTGCGGCGATCCACTGCGCGTAGGCAGTGTTGACCTGCTTCGCGGTGCTGCGCGCTTGCGCGTGGAAGATGTGGCCTCTGCCCTCCTTCGTGCCCGCGAGGTGGCCCTCGAACTTGGGGTTGGTGTCGGCGGTGCCGACGGCCCTGTCCCAGTCGGTGTTGGGGAGAACGAACGACGTGTCCTCCTCGGGGGGGGGGGG